AGCAAGATCAGCAAAATTCACTAGAGTGGAAAAGATTTGGAAGCCATCAGGAAAACAAGAAAAAATGTAGGAGAGTTATCTATAGGGCCTGGAGACTCCATAAGGCTTGTTTCCTGGTCCTGCCTTGCATGCTGATTTGTTATCTCTCTTTTCCGCTTGCTCCACTGATCTTTATGGTGAAGTGACTATTAGGAGATCAGTGTGACTTTTAGAACCAACAATTGATTTTATGTACTTACAAAATGGATGAATTACAATTGCTCTGCTTCCACACCATCATCAGATCTGGAGTTAGATAATCTGGACTCAAATCCAGGCTCTTTCACTCACTACTGATAAGACCTTTGAGAAGTTATTAAATCTCTCTGCCTTTTTTTTTTTTTTTTTGTAATCTGTAAAGTGGAATAGGAGTAGAGGTTACTTCAGGTATGTAAAAATGACCAATTAGAAAAAATTCAAGAAGTCAGAATAGTGGTTACCTTTGGTGAGGAGATGATGACTGGAAAGGGCTGCAAATTAGCTTCTGGAATGTTGCTTATTTTTCATTTGGATGCTGGTTATGTGGATATGCTCAGCTTATAAAGATTAATTAAGCTGCATACAATATGTGCCAAATTCTGTGTCTATATTACTTTTGATATAAAAAAACTATGTAAACTACTTGAGATTTAGTAACTATTCAACAGGCATCGAGTAAGTAACATTCAACCATTATTTTTATGTCTTGCTGAGGGATCACCCACTAAGATTTTTAACATTATTCCTAAACATAAGAAAACAAAGAGCAAAGAAAAAAAACTGCTCACTCTGGCCATTTGACTGGATACTCAGTGGGTCAGTTATTTGTACTTAATGGAAAGTTGGGCTAAATAAATTACGTTTGCTAGGGCCTTTTGTGCATATAGGTCTTCCTTCTATAAAGTGGTAGAATGAATTGCATTTCCCGAATTTCTCTTCTTAGGGGGACAATGTATTTGGAAAGGAGAGCTGAGTTTGCATAACACTTTATATAAGATTGAAAAAGTGTCAAGTGGCCACATTTGAACGGGGGTGAGAGGGAGGCTAGTGGCACCATTCTTCAATGCCACCACTCTTTGGGAAAAAGATCCTGAAAGAAGAGAGGAAAAATCCCAGTAAAACAGAACCAGCATGGCCTGGTGTTATCATAATACCATAAGCATGAAATATTTTGACCCAGCACCCCCCCCAGGAAGGTCACCTCAGAAACAATTGGGCTTCAGGGACTTGTCTTACCGGCCTCAGAATGACTAAGACCTATTTAAATCTTGTGGTTGGTTAATCATTAATAAACATTTTTGACAAACAAAGTAGAGCATGCCAAGAAAGAAGGGTGGCTAAAAATTAGCTCAGGAAAGGTCATATTTCTTGCAAATGCAGGGTTTGGTGTTGCTTTTGATTGTGGGGCTAATTGTGTAGAACGGAGTCATAGGAAATATAATACCATTCAGGAAGCCAGCTCGTCTGTGAAGACTTTACTCAGGATCCTCCTCAGTCCTCACAGTCCTCTGGAGGACAGTAGCTTTCCATCACCTTTGCTGAGTTCACATTCCTCCAGGGCCTCCTGAAAGACAACTGGAGATACCCTAGCCCACACACATAGCTGCTGTATGACCCCAGAAAGCAAAAGGGTGGAAGATCCCAACAGGCAGAATCTGGATCTTAAGAAGAAAGGTGTTGCGAACTGTAAGAGCCTTGGTACCCCCACAAACTCAGTTCAGGTGGGCATCTGCTGGGGCTATGAAGGTTTAGGAGGGAGCTTCTCACTAGGGGGCGCACTCAGGCCCACAATGCTCTTGACTGCAAGCCAACCCCCAGTCTCCACAGGTTACATAAACTCAGGACTCCTCCATTTTGAAAGAAAGATCTAAGGGGGAATGGTTTAAAGTTCTTCTCACTCATTTTTTATGGGAACCAGAATTCTTACTTTCACAGCAAACACAAACCTATGGACCATGATTAGTATTGAAGACTACAAAGGTTGAGATTTCTCACTTCACATCTTTTCTCTTTCACCTTGAGTTAGTTGGTCAGGTTCTTGAATATACCATGTTCTTACTTCCAGCCCGGGACATTTTCTGTCTTTATCCTTGCTCACCTGTCCTCCTAATCCCTAGCCATCCTGTAGAACTGTGCTCAGATGCTGGGAGTTTCTGGAGTTCAGAGGGGTTTGATTTTATTGTCGTCTTCTCTCTGATGCCCCATCATGTTGTGCTGGCACGTGTTTATTTAATAAATGGTGAACAAATGAATTAAAAAGGCACAAAATGGAAAGACTTAGTGGAGTCAATATGGTGGAGTCAACACTAATTTGGAAAGAGAAAGGGGAAGGAAATGCTCCTTGAGTGCCTGCACTGTAGTAGGTTTTAGATTTGCTGACTCATTTGATTTTCATAATAAGTTTGTGAGGTTAAGATTATTGCCACTATAAGAACTGGTGCTCAGCAAGGTAAGACATCTTTTCCAAGGTCCCAAGACTGGGGTTTCACCCTCCAGGCATCCTGAATACAAAGCTAGCCTTCTTTTTCTGGCCATAGTTCTTGCTTACAAGGACTATCATTTGGGCCATCACATTTTTCCTAGGCTCAGTGGTGTGAGGAGTTAGGAAACAGGAATACTAAAACCTAGAAAGGGAAGATTGTTGAGGGAAGAGAAGAAAAAGGAAATCTAGTCTGACAGTTTACAACTTGGAATGAAAACAATTTGTGGCCATCTTGTGAGTCTCATTCTGTATTTAATCCTAATCTTGCCCTTGACTTTGGTGCTCAGTCACAGGAATGTATCAAGCAATTGGTAGGGCAAGGATAAAGTGAGAATACCTGTGTCATCCTATCCAATAAGGTACTAAGTCATGGTGTCAAAAATTTTCATTATCAAAACATCACATTTCATGGCTTTTTTTTTTTAAAGTTCAACTCTGATATAAAAAGTGAAATCCAAAAGATTTTTAACTTTATAATGAAAATAATATCACAGTGAGATCATATACATTTCTTGTAAAGGATCAAGTCCCCCACTTCCATTCAAAGCTTTCTTCTTGTCCTAGACTCTGAAGGAAGTTGCTGGCATGACCAGTTCCCTTCACTTCCAAGGTCAGTGCACTTTCAAAGAGGGTCTCAGAACTGTGGTCTGAGCACAGACTTCTGTCTTGGTTTTCAACAGCCGTGACCTTGGCCACTCCTAGATCTGCCCTAGCTACTTTATTGAGTGATGTGCCATCGACCTGAGATTATGGAAACCCAACAGCCACCAACAGCATAGTCATAGCCTTTATCTTTTATCCCCAACCAATTTTATGCTGAAGCTGTTGCACTACCTAGAACAAAGTCAGGCCTGGGAGAGGTATAATATAGAGTGCATGTGATTGCTAGTATTTTTCCTAACAAAATCAGCCAAACGCGGTGATTCCGCACCTAAAGGGGTGTCTAATTTTCTCCAAGAACAAGAAGGAATCAGCAGATCTTGTTGCCCCAGAAAACATTACCTAATGATCTGTTATCTTGGAAAGTTTCCTGGTCTATCCCTCTCTGAAAAGGCCTTTATCTTTCTAAGAGGAAGCAGGAAGTTAGAATTCCAAGAAATGTGGGCTGGTGGTAGGCCATAACCCAGGCTGCTCAAGACTGAGAAGTTATGATTCTCTATTTCAATCGATGCAAAGCCATCTGGGGCAAATTTTAGAAGTAACCCATTGACAGCCCACCACTTTCCCTTGAATTCCGTGTTGGCCTGCTGGTGGACTCTGTTAGTGAAGCTCTCTAGAGAAAAGGGAAGGGAGTGTTCTGTAAACCTTGTTGGATACTGTGAAAAGGAGAACCAGAAGAGACTTTGGTTTCTGATAGTGACTGACATTCAATTCACCCCAGCACTTTCAGGAAATCACCAAACAACTTAATATTCTACCAACAGTCTTCCTTTAGGGTTCTGAGTGTCAAGCTCTCGGGAATCACAAACAAACCCAGATGACAGGCCTGCTGGGCCGTGCCACATCCTAATCCCATTTGAGTTGCTGAATGGTACTTAGCATGTCCCACCCGAGCTAAAGTTTGACCATACTGCTAATTTGCAATTTTTACTAGGTGGTCCACCCCCATCATCTTCAGTGGTCTTTCAACTCAAAGATAAGGGCACTAACTTGGTTTCTCCTGTTGAAAAAACAAAACAAAACAGTGAATTAAGTCAATTTCTCCTTTGCTGTAAAGGTTTTCTGATTTGAGAGGCAAAAGAAACAATACAATTTAAAACAAGGGATTGAAATTGCTTTAAAGAAAGCTTTATTTAGTACATCCATCCCAAGAATGTACTGTAAATGGAGCAACATCTAATTAAATTGAAAAGCTTTTCCAATATGAAGCAGCTAAAGTTAACTAAACTATGAGCATGTTTGAAAACAGAATGCTAACACATTTTTTTTTACATTTCTATAGTTTGTTCTTAACCCTAAAAAAAAAATAGTTCACATTTCAAGTTATAAACTTACCTCAGTAGTGTGTGTGAAATGGTTTCAAAACAACAGGAACAGAACGCAGACAGGAGGCTCACTGACACTTTGCTGACTACGTCACCAACATTCGTTTTTAAGGTAGTTTGGTGGATGCCATAATAAGATATCATGTTTTCCTTTTTCTTAACCTTTTTTTTTTCCTTTTGGCAAATAATTTACAGGCACATGTAAAATACAGTAAGACTACTGGGTCACAGTCTCATCCAGCGAACCTCTGGGACCATCCTTTAGGAGAAGGACAGTACTTCTTTGCACAAAGTCAAGGGATGAGGTCTGATCTGAATTGCATTTTGTTGGATTATTTGTTCCAACAGGGTTTGGATGCAGCTCGTTGGGTACATCATCAGGAACATTGCACAATTACTTTATGTCATTTAAGAATGCTGAAAAGGAATGTTTAAAGGCCTTAGCAGGCACTTAATATTTTATAGAATAGTTAAATAAATATTGCTTATATATATAAAAGAATCATCTCGCCCTAAGATGGGGGAGGAAGGGAGAAGGGCACTTGGGAATCTCTTATTTTAAAGCAAAACTAAAATATCTGCTGAAGGCACAATCTTATTATTCATCCAAAAACAAGAGCTTAGCCATCAGCAAAAATTGAGTGTGGAAAGCTTTTCTGGATCTCTAATATGACATAAAAACACAACTGTGTTATTGCTACTTATTGCACACCTCACTTCCTTGATAGAATCTTTTAAAAAAAATTCCAAGTTGATGTATTACTTAAAGTAGATGACAATCTTAACATTTTACTGTATTTTACATTCACTCTGCTAAACAAAAGCCTTCAAACAGGCACAAAAACACTGCAACAATATATTTACTTCCTAATAAAACAAAACTTCTTTAATAACGTTGAAATAAAATGGTTTCATTTTGCATTAAACTAGATACCTTGAACTTCTGCAACATAAAATAACTAAAGGGAGCGCTAGGAGATATTTACAAATTATTTTTTTAAATCCTGGGGTGGGGAGTCCTCTCCTCCTCCTGGGTGTGCACACCCCAATTCCGTTGGCCTGCCATGTGCACAGAAATGGAGGAAAGTCCTATTTGGAAAAAGACTATTTCCAACACCCTAAGCAATCAGAGATGCTCATATAAGAAATACAATGAAGCTACCAGAAGCATACCTTTCTGTGACAAGAATCTTTGGGGGTCTTGTCTAAAATAACATTCTCTTGTCTCTATAAACTCAGACTTCAAAAACAAATAAAATAAAAGCATTCAAAAAGGACTTACGGTTTTATAACCGACAATTAAATAGCTATGCAAAGATACCTTATGAAAACTATTAAAAATCTTGTGCTTACTCACACTCTGCTATTAAAAATATCTCCCCAACCACAACAAACGAAAAAAAAAAAAACACAAAGAAACACAATGCAACAACAACAAAAAACCCAACAAAAACCCAGGAAGAAGTAAAAAAAGCCATCAATGTTTTCGCTATCAGAATAATTCATAGCCAAGACTTGCCAAACTGGAAGATGGGATTGGGGATTGAGGGAGGTGGCAGATTAGAACTTTCCAGTGTCTGGACTCAGAATGTGACAAGTCTTTTCAGCGTTGGCTTAAGGAGCGACTGAGTGTTCACTTTCTTTTAAAGAATAGACCCATCATGAATAACACATGGGAACATTACTAACCCTTAATGCCAACAGGAATAGAGGTTTTACTTATTTGCAGATTGCACTTTCCAGTATAACTTTTAAAATAACCTTTTCTGTAGTATTTTTAAAGCACTATTGTTTGTATCTTTAAATATTGAATATACTTTTCAAAATAGTTCCCTAGCTGCTCAAGTGTGCTTTTGAACATATAGTTGATATATTATTGAAGGTACTACAAAATAGAAATCTCTGGAGTGCAGAAGTTAAGAAAATAACCTTCATACTGAAAATATATCCTTAAAAATAAAAAAAAAACACATAAAACCTCTATACAAATGTACTACAGCATACAAACTTTTAAGAGATGGTATTAAGGCACGAACCATTGCAAATCTCTTAGAAATGTATGAACACAGGCCTGCTAAGTTGAAAAGTCTTAAAAAACTAGTGAAAACTTCATGTATATAAAATATTTCAGCATGATATTTGATAACATTCTTCACTTTCAGGTTTTATCTCTGTGATAATCGGACGTTCTTTCTTCATAAATAGTAAAGTGTTCCTTCAGTAGTAGGTCTGGGTCTCGCCCCCAGTCTCAGTATGTCTGGTAGACGTCGTGAATGGGAACCTGGATAGTAGCAGCTGGGAAGGCCTGAGGTATGTAGCCGGCGTAGCCTCCATAAACGGCGGCGGCGGCGGCGGCGTTCTTCTGTAGTGTGGCGATTGTGGCTGTGGCCGGAGCAGCAAATGGCACGTAACTGGCCCCATAGATCCCAGCAGTGGGAATTCTCTGAACGTTTGGAGCCATTGTATACACAGGAGTGATGGGGCGGCCCTGAAGAGGAGAGCGAAAAGGAGCCCTTACTGAGAATGTGTAGACACCCATAATATTGGGTCATTTGTTCATTCCACTCCTGGGAGGTGGGAGGAGTGGAAGTGAAAGCAAAGGTTTGCACACCCAGGGTGGGGAGCAGAGGCGTAAACAATCTTTGGAAAAGCGTGTCAAGGTAAGTAAGGTCAGTAAGGTAAGGTCAGGGCTCCTTCAGTTTCTACTGGTGAATGTGAGAGATCGTCAAGTTTAGATGCTTCAGACGTCTTTTTCCCACTCTCTCAATCAGCATAGAGAGGGGAATTGGGAATCTACCCTATGCTCAGTAGATTTCACTGTAATTAAATACAAATATTTTTCCTAAAATACATTCCAGGTGCCTCAATTCATACTTACCTGAAGGAACATGTTATTTCAAAAATGAGGCACACAGATGGTGATAATTTTATGAAACAAAGTATGCAGATCTCTAAAGAGGCAGGGTTTTTTTTTTTGTTTTTTTTTTTTAAGAGATTCATTTATTTGTGCATACAGAACTGGGGTATAGGCCAGAGGTGCCGGGGTGGTGAGAGATTGCCCCGAGATAGAGTGGGGAGCAGAACAGGCAGATCAATGAAGTACACTGCTCAGGGAAGCAGCAGGCCAGTCAGGAGAGGTCTGCCACACCATATGGCTCAACTCTGGGTTTGGGGATCGAAGTCACACTGAAGCAGCTGTGGCCAGCTTGCAGTGCTATGTCCTAACCGGCTGAGCCACCAGGGAAGGCCCAGAGGCAGTTTTTTAAGGTGTGAAATCAGATAGTTGTTATTATAGACCAAGTGTTTCAGAAGTGGGGACATTTGAGCTGGGTTTTTTTTTTTTTTAAAGATTTATTTATTTGTGCATACAGAACTGGGGTACAGGCCAGAGGCTCAGGGGCGGTGAGAGGCTTCCCCAGAGACAGAGTGGGTAAAAGAACAGGCAGATCGATGAGGTACACTGCTGAGGGGAGCAGCGGGCGGGTCAGGAGAGGTCTGCTACATGTGGTCACCTTCGGGGCAGGCGGGGATCGAACTCATGCGGAAGCGGCTTTAGATTCTCAGTGCTGTGCTTTAACCCACTGCACCACCAGGGAGGGCCTGAGGTGGGTTTTAAAGGCTAAAGAGGAGTCCTCTATGAGGAGGTAGTCAGGGGAAGACAAGCTAAAGTAGCCTCTCTGTAGATGCCATGGCTGGCTTGGTAAACATCTCTGGTACTTCTTTCCCACCTCTTGACGGAGGAGTACTGTGTTCAGAGAAAACAGCAGTAGAGTGGGGGCTAGTTTGAGAGTCATTTTATGGAAAGGGTTTTTGTTTTTTTTTTTGCTGTTGTTAAAACAAAAAACACATTTAACAAAATATCTGGAACACTTACAATCCATAAAACATAGCCCTTTAATAAATGCTGCCATGCTCTAAGTCTTACTATGTCTTCAAAATAAATAATTCGGAAGATATGAAATTAGATTTGTATTTTTATTCACACATTGGGGACCAGAAAAACAGTAGATTTTAGAACAAAGCACAGCTCAGAACATCTTCCACAACTGAAGTGTCTGGGCCTGTACAGAGGCTTAGACACCAGGCAGACATATTCATACCACAGCAAGTAATTAGAAATCATGCCTATCAGCAACAGTAGCACAGGAGAACCTAAAACAGAACAAGTCAGAAGGTTAACTGGAAGAATAAGAAACACAATGATCAAGCAGACTCCTCTGGAAATAATACACACCAGAGAGAAAGTCATTTCCCAGAAAACAATATTATAGAAACAGAAGAATACCTCTACCTAACAAAGATTTCAAAAAGGCCACGATGGAAATAATTAAAGAACTAAAAGAACAAATAGAAAGAGATAAAAACATTGATTAATGAGCTGACGAAGAGAGTGAAGGAAAGACAAGAGGAGGAACTCAAGAACTCTGGAAAAAGCAAGAAAACAGAATAAAAGAAATGGAAGAAAGAATCAGCATTCTTGAAGATTCAGATATAAAAAGAACAAAAAGAGAAAAGGAAAGAGAACAACAAAGGGGGAAAAAATGGAAAAGACAATCCAAGTAATATGAGATGCAATGAGGAAAAGAAATATAAGAATCATAGGTGCCCCAGAGGGTGAAGAGAGAGAACAGGGAACTGAAACAATGTTCGAAGAGATAATTGAAGAGAATTTCCGAAACATGAAGAAGGAAATGAAAATAGAAGAACACCAAACTACCACAATGAAAAGAAAGCTACAGCAAAACACATAGTAGTAAAGCTTTCTAAGGCCCAAGACAAGGAAAAAATAATGAAGTTGGAGAAGGGGAAGAAATAGATAACATACAAAGGAAAACCAATCAGGATGACATCAGACTTTTCCGAAGAAACATTACAGGCATGAAGAGAATGGAGGAACGTATTCAACAAACTTCAAGTCAACAAATTCCAACCAAGAATACTCTGCCCTGCAAAGCTCACCTCCCTCTACAATGGAAAAATAAAAACTCTCCATGACAAACAAAACTCCAGAAATTCATCACTACTAAACCCCCACTACAAAAATTACCACAAGGAACCCTAGAACTAAAGTCAACTGGAGTGAAGAGGAAGATTAGAACAAGGTAAGGAAAGAATCACAAAAAAGCAAGTAAAATGAAAACTACAGATTTCAACATATCAATAATAACTCTGAATGTACATTATCTAAACTCACCAATAAAAAAACACAGTCACAGGTTGGATAAAAAAACAAAACAAAACAGAACTCAACCTTTTACTGTCTACAGGAAACACACTTTACTACGAAAGATAAACATAGATTGAAAGTAAAAGTGTGGAAAACAATCGTACAAGCAAATGAACCAAAAAAGAAGGCAGGAACAGCTATACTTATATCAGATAAAATAGACTTCAGGGCCCTCCCCGGTGACACAGTGGGTTAAAGCACAGTGCTAAGAAGCTAAAACCACTTCAGCATGAGTTCGATCCCCACAACAGAGGAGATCCACATGGAACGGCAGACCTCTCCTGACCTGCCTGCTGCTCCCCTCAGCAGTGTACTTCCTCAATCTGCTTGTTCTGCTCCCCATTCTGTCTCTGGTGAATCCTTTCACCATCCCTGCACCCCTGGCCTGTACCCCTTTAATATGCATAAATAAATAAACCTGTTAAAAAAAAAAGACTTCAAACTAAAAAAAGTAAAAAGAGACACAGACAGTCATTACATTATGATTCTAGGGATAATACATGTATTCACTAAACAAAGGAGCACCAAAATATGTCAGACAATTATCATCTCTGAAAACAGACATCAGAGAGACACATACATGGTAGGAGATCTCAACACACCACTTTCGCCATTGGATAGCTTAACAAGACAGAAAATAGGTAAGGACATGAGCGCTCTAAACAAGGATCTAGACCTCATGGGCCTACAGACATCTACAGGACATTACACCCAAAGAAATATAAGTATTCATTCTTCAAGCACCCATGGATCATTCTCCAAAATTCATCACTTACTGGGACACAAGACAAACATTAATAGATACTCCAAGATCAAAGTCATACCAACTATCTTCTCTGACCATGAAAGCATCAAACTAGAAGAAAGAAAGAAATGAAGGAACACTCCTACCTCATGGAGAATAAAATCCACACTACTGGAAGATCACTGGATTAGTGAAGAGATCAAGAAATAAATTTTAAAAATCAAGATGAATGACAATGAGGACACAACCCTCCAGAACGTATGGGACACAGCAAAAGCAGTTATAAGAGGAAAATGTATAGCAATGCAGACACACATCAAGAAACAAAACAAAATAAAATAAAATAAACTAATATCTCCCCTTAAAGAACTGTAAAAAGAACAAAAAAGCCCAAAGCCAATAGAAGAAAGGAAATAATAAAAATAAAAACAGAAATAAATAAAATAGAAGTTATGAAAACAATTCAAAAGATCAATGAAACCAAAAAAACTGGTTCTTTGAAAAAATAAACAAAATAGACAAAACTCTAGCCAGGCTCACAAAGAACAAATGGGAAAAAACACAAATAAATAGGATCATAAACAAAAGAGAAATAACGACACAGCAGAAATCAAAAGAATAGTGAGAGATTACTATGAACAGTTATATGCAAACAAGTCCGACAACCTAGAAGAGATGGACAAATTCCTACAATTTTACAATCACTCAAGGCTTGACAGAGAAGAAACAGAACATCTAACTAGTCCAATTATGAGCGGTGAAATTGACACAGTAATCAAATCTTTTCCCCAAAACAAAAGCCTGGGACCAGAGGACTTTACAAATGAATTTTACTAAATGTTCAGAAACAAACTAGTGCCTGCCCTACACAAACTCTTTCAAAAAATTGAGAAAGAAGGAATTTTACTAACTATGTCTTATGAAACCAACATTACACTAAGGACAACACAAAAAGGAAAAATTATAGGCCAATCTCTCTAATGAACACTGATGCAAAAACCCAAAATAAAATCTTAACTAATAGAATCCAACAATGTGTCAAAAAGATAGTCCACCATGACCAAGTGGGATTTATCCCAGGGCACAAGGATGGGCCAAAATTTGAAAATGATGTAACCTAACACATCAACAAAAAGAAAAATAAAACCATATGATCATATCAATAGATACAGACAAAACATTTGACAAAGTCCAGCATCCATTCATGATAAATGTGTTTGAAACTCATGAGATACAAAGAACATATCTTAGCTAGATAAAGGCCACATATGACAAACCCACAGTCATTCTCAATGGTGAAAAGCTGAAATCCTTTCCCTTAAGTTCAGGAACAAGACAAGGATGTCCACTCACCACTGCTTTTCAATATAATACTGTCCTAACCAGAGTAGTAAGACAAGAAAAAGGCATACAAGGAATCCCAATAGGAAAAAAGAAGAAAAACCATCATTGTTTGCAGATGACATGATGATATAGAGAATCCCACAAACTCTGCAGAAAAACTTATCAAAATAATAAGCCAATTTAGTAAAGTAGCAGGATACAAAATCAACACACAAAAATCAATAGCCTTCCTATACACAATCACTCTGAAGAAGAAATCAAGAATACAATTCCCTTTATAATTCCCTTTATAATTGATCACATACTTCCATCCTACCAAAAGCAATTTATAGATTCAATGCTATTCCTATAAAAATTTCAATGACATTTTTCAAAGAAATAAAGCTAGATTACTACCACACACCATACACAAAAACTAACTCAAAATGGATTAAAGAACTAGACATAACACCTGAAATCATAAAATATGTAGAAGGAAATACTGGTGAAACACTACATGACATACACCTCAGTACCATCTTTAAAGATACAGCACCCAAAGCAAGGATAGTGAAAGAAAAGATAAAGAGCTGGGACTACATCAAATTGAAGAGCTTCTGTATAGCCACACTGACACTGAATAAAAGGGACACCCTACTGACTGGGAGAAAATTTTGCAGGTAATATGAAAGATAAAGGACTGATCACAAAGATATACAGAGAGCTGATGAAACTCAACAATTATAAAATGAACAACCCCATCAAAAAGAGCTACAAAGACATTTCTCCAATGAGGAAATGCAGATGGCCTATAGGCATATGAAAAATGTTCAACATGACTTGTAATAAGGGAAATGCGAATTAAAACCACAATGAGATATTACGTCACACCAGTGAGAATGACCCATATTAAAAAAAATAACAAGCAACAATAAATGTAGGTGAGGGTGTGGAGAAAAAGGAACTCTCCTACACTGCTGGCAGGAATGCAAACTGGTACAGCCACTATGGAAAGCTGTGTAGAGCTTTCTATATGATCCAGAAATTCTACTCCTAGGTATCTAACCAAAGGACACACACACAAAATATAATTCAAAAGGATACCTGCACCCTGATGTTTACTGCTGCTCTATTTACAATAGGGGAGATGTGGAATCAATCCAAGTGCCCCAAAATAGATGACTGGATCAAGAAAAAGATAAATGCATGCCATTTGCAGCAACATGGATGGAGCTGGAAAAGACCACACTTAATGAAATAAGTCAGAAAGAAAAGGAAAAATACTGGATGGTTTCGCTCATGGCAGGAGCATGAGGAATCCAGAGAAACAAACAAACAAAAACCTATATATAGATATAGGTAGAGTAATTGTACGAAAATAAAAAAGAACATCAACTAACAACTATAGACCAGAGACATTCTATGGGGAAGAAGGGAACAAGATTAAGTAAGGCTTTGACGATGGCACACGGGTGATGTGGTGGTGGGAAGTCCATGGGGATTACAACTGAGATGGAAAAAATGTACAAAAAGAAGAAGAATATTAAAAATATTCCCTCCCTGGTGGCGCAGTGGGTTAAAGCACAGCCCTCAGAAGCTTAAGTCACTTCCACATGAATTCGATTCCCGCCTGCCCCGGAGGTGACCACATGGCGCGGTAGACCTCTCCTGACCCGCCCGCTGCTCCCCTCAGCAGTGTACTTTGTTGATCTGCCTGTTCTGCTCCCCGCTCTGTCTCTGGTGAATCCTCTCACCCTCCACATCTCTGGCCTGTACCCCAGTTCTGCACGAATAAATAAATAAATCTTTAAAATATATATATATCTATATTTATAAAAAAAAAAATCCAACTAGTCTGACCCTTTCTAAATAAGGCAGTTGAGACTGGTGTTGGAGTGGGCAAAAAGCAAGGGGGTTGCATCTCAAAACAGCCAGATTGTAGGTCTGGCTCTGTTTGAGTATCACTGAGGAAACTGTACAAAGTAAGGATTCTAGAACCACAGCCCAGTTCTTCTGAATTGGAATCTTCTGGGGTTTGAGTCTAAGAATTTCTGTCAATTTCTTTCCCCTCTCCTTATCCAATCAGATAAGAGTCAACCCCCTACACCTGAGTATTTGTGCCAGTTGATCAATAAGGTATTTGAGATCCCTTATGTTACGAAAAAGAGCTCTCCCCAGATTTTTTTCCTGTCTGGACGGATAACTTATCACTTATGTCGCATATCACTCTGTGCTGAGAACTGAAGGAACAAGAAATTTAAAGCCCAGTTCTTGATGGAGGTGTCATTTTAATTGGGGAAACAGTGCATTGGCAATCACATTCCAACGGATAATGAAGGCAATGAGAAGGAAAAGCACATTCCCAGAGCAAGTGGTGGGAGGAGCTGGCGGAAGAAATGGATAGCAGAGACCACAGATAAGAGAACCTGGTGAGCAAAAGCAGGGAAGGTATGGATGGGGAGATATGATTAGGAGGAGATAGGGTGAGGCTGCAGGAGAAGATTGGAGGTCGATTTTGTAAAGTTTCATACATCTTTATTTCGACAGCTCTTTCTCTATTTCTGTAGGAACTCACCTATGTGCCCACCTACATACAACATGTACATACTTGAGGGACTTTAAAACAAAATGTTCAGTAAGCTGCAACTTGGAATGTGAGAATGTGAACTTTCTCCTTGGACTTTGTGTATTGGCTCCTTAACTATAGGAACATGAGTTAAAAATTACCCAGCGTCATTAAAAAAAAAAAAAAAAACAGCCCAGTATGTACAATATTATAACACTGTGAACAGGACATGTCATTTTTGAATATTGCTTCCCACCTTTCATACAGTGATAACATTAGGGCGGGACAGTTTTTCCGCCTGGTCATAATTTGTATTAAAGTTTTTCCTGTTACCCAAGCTCAAGGCTCTAACAGAGAGGCAGGGGCACAGTAAATTCCCTTGTTGAAGACGCAATGACTGAATGAAAAGGAAAGGTCTCATGCACGAACGACAGAAACGGTGGCAGGAATCCTACCTGGAACGGTGGTGGTGTGGACACAGCGGGAATCACAGCGGCGGCGGCAGCGCTGGTGGGGTCGGGCTGCACTGCGATCGGGCTGATCATGTGTTCCATCGTGTGGATTTTACCATCGTCAATCATTTTAGGAGCTGGAGCTGCCTGAAACATGGAATACTGGGCCCCAATGGCAGGGATAGCCACTGCAAAGGAAGTAAGAGGGAAGCAGGTCAAACACCGTAGAACAGAGACAGGCCCAGCGCCGTGATATGTAAAAGGCCTCGGTTAGCAGTCACTAGCCCTACTAAGGAATGCTCTGGCAGCAGCACAGCTAACAGGGCCCTCCTAGCTGAAGCCAGGGCAGGTGGCAGGGGCCCATCCCTTCCCCCCACCCCTAGCCTCCCCCAGTCTTGCAACAGTAACCGAGGGGTGGTCATGGGCTTAAGGTCTAGAAGCAGGTTTCAGCACCAGCATTTCCTGCTGCTGCTACAGAAAACTGCATTTTGAACCTTATTCGTGATAGCCTGTGAGCAAGAAAGGGCCTGCTACCTCAGAAAAGAAGCTCAGAATAAGAAGTGAGATCACAGGCTTGAACTGCAACCAGAGTGTGCACGGGCCTGTCTGTTCCCGACATCACTCACTGCAGACCCTGCACCGTATTCAGTTTCATCACATTACGCAGGTGTTCTTGAGGGTTTCATGCTGAGAACTCAGAGGTCTGTATACATCAACCCAAGATACCGTTCAGATTTCAACATTACCTCTTCAAAGAAAACCGCATATGAAAAAGGGGGAAACTTCCTAATTTTTAAATGTCTACTGCCAGTACGGAAGCGATGGAGTGGTGTTTTAATGACCTGCCAATCCAAAGCTGTGTTTGTGAGTCAAGTCCAAAGGACACATTTTGACCAAAGATTCAAACAGACAGCAGTTACTGAAAGTCAGTGCATGATAAAAAGGAAAAAGTACTAGGCCTGATTTGGAGGAGTCGATATTTGTGCAGTGTTTTGTGAAAAGCATAAAATGCATATACTAGGTTCCTGTTCATTAATTTTTACCTCCAACTGTGTTTATATTTTATTCCAGTAAAAGTGGACTTAAGCCCCTCCCTGGTGGCACAGCGGGTTAAAGCACAGCACTACAAAGCTAAAGCCACTTCAGCATGAGTTCAATCCCCAGCCCCGGAGGTGACCACATGCCGCGGCAGACCTCTCCTGACCCGCCCGCTGCTCCCCTCAGCAGTGTACTTGTCAGTCGGCCTGTTCTGCTCCCTGACATCCCTAAAACAGAGTTTACGGATGACAGAGTGGTAGGAGATCAGTTTTACATTGCTTAGAGCACCAATGGCATTTATAAGGAAATCAGTCTGAGAAGTTATTTAATTGCAGAAAGGGTAGAATAAAACAAACAAACAAACAAATAAAAAACACAATAACTTACTTTAAAAGGAAGCTCAACTGGGAAAATGCTTTTAAAGTCCTATATAGCCAATGCACACTTATGTCCCAAATGCACAGACTGTTTAGATGGTTAAAGGAGAATGTAATCCTCAGCCTGAAGACAGTTCAGAGCAGCTGAGGGGGTTAGTCAGCCTGTCCTCAAAGATCTCTTCAGTTCAACCTCTGTGAGACCAGGAAAAGGTATGTACAGAGAGGAGGCTCATTCCAATCATGCACCATGAGTCTTCAGGTGTCTGGATGTCTGTGTGGTGTGTGCTGAGTCTGTGCTTGTACATCATGGAGTTAAAGAAGGTTCATTGTAGGTTAGGATCAAAGGAGACCTGTTTTCATGTTAGGAGACCAATGGGTACAAACAAGGTTGGCAAACTGGTTTGTGGGGCCTGGGATTGAAAGCAAAGTTCAAGGTCCCTGGCTTGAATTACTTAAATGTCCCATCCTCAATTACTGATCCATCAAGAGGAGGAAATGAATGCTGGAAATTAAAATCTGGGGAATTAGCAGCTACAAAACGTTTAGCACTGCCTTGTTTCCAGATACTCTGGTTTTGCTAAGACCATGGCAAAGGACATGCACATAGTGTTTTTTGCTCTCGAAAGAGAATTTTCTACCATTCCCAGTAACTCAGAATTGGCAATAAGCTGTATTCTCTGGCTTCTGGTGGATAGAATTATACTTGAGTTAAGGAAAGACAGTTTTTAGTTAATAAGAGACACAGAAAAGTCTTATTCTTCCCTCATACCTCTCCCCCGACAACTCTGCCTACCCAGTCACAGACTGAGGGAAAGAACCATTAAAAAAAACCCCACTACTGGAAAGTCTGATTCGGACATGTTGAGAGCTAGACCACCCAGTCCCCTTTAGTTCCAGATAAGTCCCAGGAAGCCACATTCTTTGCTTAAGCTCTATGAGAAGAGGAACCTCTGTAGAAAGTCTGAGGAAGCCCTGGGGTCACTTCAAGGACAGGGCTGTGGGTTAGGCCGAGTGGATGCTTCTCACGCTGCTTTATACTGACCTGCACCAGGCTTAATGGCAACTGGATTGACAGCAGAGATTTCCAGATTCGGGACAAGTTCATATCCTTTTTCTTGCTGCTTTCCTTTCCCTTCGTGATATCGGCTATATATACCACGGCCAGCGGAATATCCTCCGAGGTAGGAGCCCCTGGGCCCTGGGGCCCTGTTGCCAGCAGCACCTCGACCCCGGCCTCTTAGGCTGCCTGCTTATAATAACAATACAGAAAATGATGAGCACCCAACAATGACGCACAGAAGACAGATTTTAACTCAAGATTCTTGACATCTTGGTGTCTAGCACAGCTCTTCAATGAGGTGGAAAGTTGCTTCAAACCCTGTTCTAGCTGAGACTCGCAACTTATGTTTGCTTAATGCATGAGACGGACTTTGAGGGGGACTTCCTAGAACTGTAACTTCGATTAAAAAAAAAACACATTCGTAGTTTGTAATGAAGATAGATCTGGAAGGGGAAGGGCCCCTTCACCTTCCTCATTTTATGCGTGAGAAAACAGGTTCTAGGAAGGCTGAAGGTACTGCCTGAAGTCAGTCAGTTAATGTGAGAGCTGGACACAGTATGTAGGTATTTTGCTTCCTTGGGTAACGCTTGCTCTCAGTGTACCCTAGCCAAAGAGTTAAACAAACATCCACTCACCCCCCCCACCCCCAACCCTGCCAAAAAATAACCCAACAAAAACGAATTGCGCTTGGTACTCCCAGATATTATAAAGATCTAATGTAGCTAATGAAAGCAATCCTAGTAGGCCGAGTTTCCCCCAGCACCCCACAGCTGCAAACCCTCTGCATTGCTCTCAGCGCAACAGAATGTTTTAGATGCCAGCAAAGAGCAGAACCCTGAAAAGGCTAGCGACTGGGGTGGGGGTTGGGAGTGAGGAGGGGAAGGGGCAGTCGGGGTCCACCAGCTCTATAAATGACAGTCACAACATTCGTGACACCACCTGCTAAGTGGACGTGTTTGGGGGTGCGGGAGTGTACCCAGAAGAACAGCCCCTCCACTAACCTTTCACGAAGTAGTCTCTGTTGGGCCCGATGAGTGCGTTGTAGGGGTAGCCGTAATAGGCCAGCGTGTAGGGGTCGCAGGAGTACACGTAGCTGGGAGGTGGCACCACGGCCTCGGCGGCGCCCCCCCCCTTGGCAGCCTTCTGGTAGCGGGAGTACTGCTCCTTGTCCACTGGCTTGGCCAGCGTCACCTCTAGGCAAGAGCCCTCCAGCTCCGCGCCGTTGAGGTTGTTCATGGCATGCACGGCGTCCTCGCGGCTGGCAAAGTGCACGAACGCGTAGTCGCGGATCTTCTTGACGCGCTCCACGCAGCCGGGGTTGAACTGGCCGAAGCTCTTTTTGATGGTGTCCTCGGTGGTCTCGATCATCAGGTTCCGCACGTAGAGGATCTTCACGGTCTCCATCACGTCCTCGTCCACGTCGATCTCCGGCTCTGCCCAGTCCACGGCGATCTGGTGCCCCCACAGCTGGATGCGGCCGGGCATGAGCTTGCGGCGCGCCATGGCGGCGGCGCGGTGACTCTCATACTCCACGAAGGCGAAGCCGCGGTTCTTCATCTTGTCGGCGGCGCTGGCGTAGACGATCACATCGAGCACGCCCTCCGTGACCTTGGAGATCTCCTCCAGGATCTCCTCGCGCTTCTTCATCTTCGGGATGCCGCCGATGAAGAGGCGGCAGTTGTCCACGCTGCAGCACACGCCGAGCAGGCGGCCGGGGCGGATCTCGTAGTTGTTAAGCTCGCGCACTGCGCGCTTGGCCTCGTTCTTGTGGCAGTACATGACGAAGGCGTAGCCGCGGTTCTTGCCGTCGAAATCCATCATGAGGCGCAGCTCGTAGATGCGGCCCACGGCCTCGAACACCGGCACCAGCTCGTCCTCGTACACGTCGCGCGGGATCTTGCCCACGAAGACCTCGCAGCCGCGCTGCGGGTGTGGGCCCTCCCAGCCCGGCGGCGGACCCCCGTATTTTCGCTGCCCGTTCTCCTGCACCATGCTGTAGCCCGTGCGCTCCATCAGCGCCAGCAGGGCCGCCTCGTTAGGGGCGCCGGCCACGCCCTCGGGCACCTTGGTGGTGGAAGCTGCGGGCGAGTCGCTGCTCATGGCTGCGGTGGAATCCTCTGCGGTCATAATGTCAAAGGCATCCACGGCTGGCGCAAACCTAGGGGCGGCAGAAGCAAGGGTGAGTGTGGAATCGGCCTGATTGAGCAAGACCTCGGCTCTCTCTTTTATTTTTTTTCTTTTTAAATCAAGACTCACAAGCTTGTGCATAGTCATCGGTGATTAATTAAAAAGATGGAGACATCTCATTGGAAATGCAACAATGTTCTAAATCTGTCTAAAAGAGACAAGCTGTTTTACAGGAAAAACCAGAAGTGACTCGGCGGGGGGAAAAAAATCATAATGCGCAAGTACTTCCTTTAATAGGTAGACCAACAGTCTTGAAGCATAGAGAACCTGCTGCAATTGTTGGTGAAAACCTCTCGTTTTGCAGGAAAAAAATTAATTCTTGCACTGTCAATTCAAGTTGGTTTCCTCTTCGTTATATAGCATTCTACCTCAGTTAGTTATTTTTATGGCAGACTCCGTTTACTGAGTCTTTTTCATTTAAGAATGGAAACAGAAATATATTCACATTGTTAAGGAACAATGGTGTTACTATGTGGACAGATACTGGGCTGTGTGCTGAAACTTTTTACAAGAAACGGAACATTCACAACACTAGGAATTTGGCATAGGTGATCGGGTAAGTCTGATTTTTAATGGTGTCATTCTGGCAAAATTCTTGAGATGGCCTATTTGTGGGTTTGCAATGGGTCCACAAAGACCTAGAATAGGTTCAAACTGGGAGACAGGTAAAGCAGCAACTATCTGGTAAACCACACTATAATTTTCAGACATCTGTCACATGCATTATCTTATTTGATCTTCTTAATCTCCTTAACACGGTAAGTGGTATGATCATTACTTCTGAGTTACTTATGGGAAAGATTTCACACAGCAAGTATCAGCTCCTATCAGACCTGATTCCAAATTGTCTGGCTCTGGATTCTGTGTTCTTTCTTCTAAACCACTACTACTATAGAACTTTTTGGGATGATGGAAAAGCTGTTACTAGCTACAGGTGGCTACTGACTAAGTGCAAGGGGCTGGTACTACTGGTAATGGATTCTCTCACTTAATGAAAATGAGTTACAACTTAATTTAAATTAAGTATTTCAATGAAATTTAAAGAGTCACATGGCAGTGCAGGCTTAAATGGTGCTACTTCCTCTCACAGAGCTCAGGACTGTGAAATATATTAAATGATATAATCAGAGTACTGCAGGGAGCTGCAGTACTTTGTTTTTTGGAAAGTCCCTGATTGTCCTTTTAAAAAATGAAGCGCATTTCATTTGTTCGACTATAAAAGTATTCAAGTAAAATGTACAGAAAATTAAGGAAAGTAAATAAGAAAAAATTTCTAAATCCCAGCCAATGACAGCAACAATGAATGATTCCTTCTTTTTTTAATCTTCTATATTCCCAGTGCCATGAATTTCATTATTTTAATTCTTCACTTTATTGTGTATATGTGTGTGTGTGTGTGTTCTAGGAAGCCATCCTAACTTTGGGAGCTAGGAGAGGAATAAATACACAGATGTATTCATACAGATACAAATCTGATATTAGTCGATTAACTATCATTTACACTAACTTGTACAGGAACTACAAATATTGGTATAAAACAAATGAGACCCACAGTGAGTAACATTTTATATGTGTTAGATGTGTTAGCATGGTTATTATTTCAAAAATTAATACAAAATAAGTGTTGACAATGATGTGGATTAATCAAATTCCTTGGTGCATTACTGATGGGAATATAAAATGCTTTAGCCACCGTAAAAACAGTGACCAGAGATGCTTCAGAAGAATCAGACCTCAATGTTATTAACAATTTTGTTCAAATGAGGCTGTTTACTGAAGTGAAAAGTCCAGCCACCTTCAAAACTGTGCTTTCCAAAGTCAGTTTAGAATATTCTCTTTAGAAAGGAATGCATGTGGTATGCGCAAGTGGTGGTGGGGAGTCTGAGCAGAAAGAAGTACTATCTTCGGAATGACAAATCTGAAGCCTTTTCTTGGGGTAAAAGGTGCAGACACAATAAATAATAAGGAGATTTCATGAGCTGAACCTAGTCTATAAATAAAAGTCAGCTAAACACACAGACTTTCCATTTCCAGCCATACAATTTATGACAGATTTTTAGTGGACTGGGTAGTCTGATTTCTGCTCTCCAGCACACTGAACAAGAAGACAATCTCCAGTGTAAAAAGACGTAGGTCCAAATCCTGGCTTCTTGACTAACTAGTTGTAAACTTTGGGGAAAGCCATTTTAACCCCTTTAAGACTCAGTATTATCTTTAATGGTGACAAGAAGAGCTAACCTTTTTTAAACACCTACTATGTGCTAACTTCTTACATATATTAACTCACTGCAGTCCTCACAGTATCTGTATGATACCTCACTTACAAGGAAACTGAGGAACAGAGAGTTAGCAGAGTATCATTTCACAAGTGACAGAGCTGGTATGTGAACAACAGTCTGGCTTAGAGTCTGCACGAGAGCTGCGGGGAGTGATTTGGGCTGTGGTAAGGAGTGAAGAAGTGGTGTGTGTAAAGCTGCTACAGCAGAATCTGGCACTAAGTGTTCACAACAATATAAGAAAAAAAAATCCCCTTCCCATAACAACAAAACATTTGAACTATGAGGTAAAACTCTTGCCCCTATAGAAGATTCTTGTGTTTACTGGTAAACAGGCAAGAGGTTCTCTCAGCCAACTTTAAGTTGTTCAGTAGAAGGAGTGTAGCCTCTGAGTTTCTAGTGCCGACTGGGGTACCAGAGTCTCCTAGATGCTGTTCATTGCAGGCAGCTATCTGGCAATGGGATTCTCCACTGGTGATGTGGCTCAGGCAAGGAGTGTAAGCTCGATGCTCACAGAACCCTTGGCTCAAGCAGTTTGCAAAGGCTGCTACAGAAAGAACCTGAAGAGACTTGCTGCCTTGGATCAAGAGGTCCAATCACACACACGGATGCCAAATCTCCTGAGGCAGCTCCCTCCCAACACAGCCATCCACACACACACTCTAAAAGCATTTGCCTTTACAGAAGACTGCCAGCATTAAATAAATGTGCTGGTATTTTTGAAATAAATCACTTATTTGTTGCATGCCATATAAATCAAACAGAAAATATACCTGTAGATCAAGGCATTAAAGTATTCTGCACCTTTACTTAGAATTTTTGCTGTTTTTGTGTTAGGTTGAGTTTGAGTTTGTTGGGGTAAAATTTCCAGTCTCAGGATTTGAATTCCCTTCTTGCTGGTTTAAAGTACACAGCATTAGGGCTTTAACTTTGAACTGGAATGTTTTTAAGGGGCAAGGGCCCCCCTTTTCCCAAAAAAAAAGTACAGTGTTTGCCAACCAGTCTTTCCCTAGAATTATCCAAACTACCTACTAGTTAGCTTTGGTTCACTGCTATAGGGCTGTGTGTGTGTGTGCGTTAACATGCAACTTGGAATTTGTGTGAGTTTTACTTGCTGACTGACACATACACTGCACTTAAAGATCTATTCAATTCAGAGCAGAGTCTTTTAGCATGAGGTAGAATTGAATTTTAGGAGCTTTCAGAATGAATTTATCCAAGAAGTAATTCTGTTGATACCATGAAAATTTTCTCTTTATTCTTAGCTAATGCTTAGGTACGGTCTGGTATAAACAGTGTGCAGATACAGTAAACCACACTGCTGGTGAAGAGCAAAGTCTTTGGAGTCAGAGGACTTTGAGTTCAAATGATGAGCGTGCCACCGAAGGGCCATGTCAAGTTTCCGTGTCTCTAGGCAGTTCTAATAATGGCACCCATGTCCGGGGATTGGCTCCAGGATTAAATGACACCTAATGCCACCAAGCTGGGGAGTAGGGTGGGGTGGGGGTGGGGGGTCGATCGAAGACCAGTTTCTACAAAATGATTTCAACATTCAGCCTTGCCCCAGCGGTTATCTTTCTGTCCGATGCCAAGTTGGCACCACCCACTAGAGCAAACAGCAGAGAACACTCCCTCCTGAGCAGGCCTCGGGCACAGGAACGTTCCTGTACCTCGCAGTTTGAAAGGGTGAGCACAGTTCCACCCCAGATGGAGGCTGAATACGTGGACTCTCCCTGGGGGTCCAGACATGCCCTGAAGACTGAAGCCAGGCTTTTGTCCTACCTCTGACAACAGGGCCCTGAGACACAAACCCCTTCCGTGACGCTTTCACTGGAAATCCTGGAAGAGTCAAGAGACAGTGGACCAATGACAATCTGGGCCTGTCTCCTATAGGCTCTTAGCGAATCTGAGAAGAGTTCACTCACAATGGGTCTTAAATGGTGTTGATTCTTGTACAGATTCTGTTATGGCAAAGCACTTCATTCAGTGGATGATTGTTTGATAAACAGATACAAAGCCAAGAGGCTCACTTTCCCCAGACATTTCTATCAACACATCCCTGAAAATGAGGCATTTTGCAGTGGTTCCCAGGGAAACCTGGATAGCACAGGAGGGGGGAAAGTCACCCTGCCCCAAAGGGCAGGGGTCATTTTCTACAGGATCTGGCAGCTCATCAGAACCCTGCTAGTATCTGTTAACGCACTCTCTTTAAATGAGCATTACATATTTAGCTTTTTTCTCAACAGGTTAATAGGGTAATTCTGGAAAAAAGTTAAAACAAAAACTGCATATAAAACCTGTAGCTATGGCACCCTTGTGCATCCTGGATTAATGTTTTCCCAAATTGAGGACAAGCAGTAGGAGGGCCTTCTAGTTCCACCCCCTTATCTTGGTTCCTTTGACCTAAACCTTTGAGGCATCTGGCAAGAACAGAAAAGCGGACGGGCCGGTAAATACCAGAAGGATAATGGAGGAAGAGAAGCAGCAATGACTTAGGTAATAGTAGCTTGAACTTACAGTGTTTTGCAATGTATAAAATTCGTTCACATTATCTAATTTCACAAAATCCCCGAATCTGAGCAGCAAAGAGAACTTGGGTATCATTTAATCCAGTGTTCCTAAACCTCTTTCCCTCCTGACATTGGATGTGATAATTCTGTGTTGTGGGCAATGCCTGCCTGTGGACTGCAGGATG